GATTAACGCTTTGGGGTCTAAGTTATTTTGAATTAATTAATTATTTTATTTTCATTTTTTGCTAAATATAATGAAAAATATCTCTGCTGATTTTAAAGGCTTGAGGACCGTCGAACTTGGGTAACTGGCGCTGTCTGTCTATTAAGTGGATTCAAGATACTTTTGAAAAAATGAAGGTTAACCTTGACGGTTAACCTTGAAGGTTAGCAGTCTTGACCTGTTGAACTGGTTGGTAAGTTAGGACTTGACTATGTCCTAACTTGTGGGCATCAATATATTTTGTACTTGTAAATCAGTTTTGTAACCTCGCAAACCAAAATATCTGAAAGTGTTATGTTTCTGCATCCATAAATGAGAATTTGTGTGAGTGTAAAAATGATTTGTGTCTTTTTATAAAGCAAAAAACCTACGTGTAAAACTCTTCTTTCCCTCACTTGCGTGTGAGTTTCAACTTGCAAGTATAAATTTTGACCAGATACTTCTTCCTTTCAGCTGATTGGCCAGCACTGGTCCCGGGCCACCCATGACTTTGTGTTGAAGCAACACTAAAGTAATAATGGTATTTCTGACCATTAGTATATCAAGTCTTCATAATTTGAACAGCTACCGAAAGTTAAGGGACCAAGCTTATAAGATATATATATATATTAGGGGTGCAACGATACACAAAATTCACGGTTCGGTTCGGTTCGATACTTTGGTGTCACGGTTCGATATTTTTTCGATACAAAAAAAATGTTCATGCCTTTTTAATTTGTCATTTATTAAAATTATAAATATATATTTTAACTCAAAAGTACAGTTTTTAAATTTAACCCTAACCCTTGTGCGTGTTTTTTATTTTGACAGCGAATGCGCACCTGCGGACCACTTATGTGCAGCCCTGGTTATTTAGCTCGTCATATTGCAGCCACAGAAATTCTTTTGTCCATGAAACCATAAAGCTGCACTTTCTTTTTGCCTTATAGTCTGATTTGTCATAACTTCTCCGTTTTGTGGTAAGCTTTTCTTTGGCTGTCACTTCTTCACCCTGACCTGTCTTATTTGGCTCAGCAGAACTAAAATATATATCTGTCTGTGAAGGTTCTCAGTCATCCAGGTCATCGTAGTCAAATATATCCTGCTGCTTTTACACACGCACTCACATAAGCTCAGCGATTCTCTGCGCGATCAACCTCTCACATGTTTAAGCTTGCTGCGGGAGATTTCACTTGTCATGTTTGCATAGTAAGCTAACAATTAATAAGACGATGTCAGAGGAATTGGTGCCAAATTATCATCACTCACAGATCAGTGCTGTCGCTCTCTATACACAGTTCGCACGATTGCAAAGTGAAAGCAAAAAAACAAGCGCAAATTCAAACGCGATTTCAATATGTCACATATTGACAGTGGCTCACCGATGCCAATGACATAATTACCCAGCTACATTTCTGAAAGAATGCAAAAGCATTGACATATATTTTTCCTTCCTACAATAGCCCGACGGGCAGGGAAGAGATAGATTTTGGTAGCCCGACTGAAAAAATCGCTAGCTCCGGGACGTCGGGCTAGCGATATTGCAAGCCCTGTATCTGATTGAGGAATCACTCATCTTTGGAAAAGAGAGTTTATTACAGAGAAATGTCTCTTTCCAAAATAAAAGCTATACTATCCGCTTCTTCTGGGCTATATTCTCAGCAGCATAAGGAGAATCATGTGCTAACAGCTGTCTAAATGACTCGGCTAAAGTTAGTAGCATGCTTGTTGTTTTTGTCTTTGCACTAGGATGATGTCGGCGTAAATGTGCAGTCATATTCGTTGTGTTCCCACTAGTGCTTTCAGGTTAATCTCGTTGAAATGACCTTAACGCCACAACACGGCAAATCTCCGTTAACGAGCTACCGCCGATCGCCCCGTGCATGGGGCTAGACGGCCAACACGTTAACGAGCTAACTGCGCTAACACACTAGTTCCCACCCATGTAATTGAGCATTGCATGGCACATCCAACATACTGTTTTACTTTAGTCCATGACTCGCTTACCTTCAGGGTCATACGTCACATGAAAACCAAAATAATTCCAAACGCCAGATCTGAATGAGGGTGGGGGAGGTGCCTGCTTGAGCTTCCTTCTGTCTAGCTAGTCTGTGTGCGCTCAGTGGATCTGCGCTCGACAGTGCAGCCTAGGCGGAGTAGTCGAACGCAGATTCACTGAGCGCTCACACAGACAGCATCGTCAGAAGGAAAGTTGATAAAATAAATTACAAATGTTGTATTGTTCGATACATATGCGTACCGAACCGAAAGCACTGTATCGAACGGTTCAATATCGATACGAATATCGTTGCACCCCTAATATATAATATATATATATATATATGTATGTATGTGTGTATGTGTGTGTGTGTGTGTGTGTGTGTGTGTGTGTGTGATATTCGTATATGTATAATAACACACAAGTTTTTTCTGATCTTAGAGCAGTTAAAGCTAAGACAAGCTAGTGGCACGCTAGACAGAATGTAGTAGCAAGTTACTCAAAAAATTAATAAATAAATATATATTTAAAAGACATTAATTTTAAACAGCTGGTTAGCTCTTGGAGTCTGCCTAGTTCTAGCCTTTGTTACAGGGTGTTCATATTCACAGAGTCAGAAACGTCTTGGTGACCTGACATCATTAATTCTGTTTGTCAGATACAAAAGTCTAATTAAAGCTCAGCTCTCATGGACAGTAATTAAAAACAATGAGAGCCCTGTTTGAAGAAGAAAAGAAGGTGGGAAACAAGGCTGTCGCTCCCTTTGTTTTCTTGTTAAAATAAAACTGATGGCATGAATATCATGCAAGCAGTGAGGAGGGGAAGCGATAGCGCACAAAAGGTGTCAGGTTATGTTTTGGTGATGAAGTATATTCATTTGTATTTCTAGCTGAAAGGCAGGAGAGATAAGCAGGTTTAAAAACAAAGCAGACAGGAGAAAAAGCTGGGCAGAAAAGAGACAGGAAGTCAGATAACAGCAAATTTGGTTATAGGCAGAGATGGAGGGAGAGACACGAGACTAAACCGGACGATAAGACAGAATGGACTAGTGTGGTCATGATCATTATAGCATTATAAATTAAAAATATTGTGGAAATTGTTGTTACGGGGCTCTGCAGTAAACAACTAGCTTTCAAGTGGATCCTGACTGACTAGACTTTCATGTTTTTCAGCACAGTAAATATCATGTCAGGCTACCAGTCATGTTGTATCAGATATGATGTGAATATGAGTTCCCAACGGGGGAAAAACAGCCTTACGGTAATCACAAGCATGACACACTCAGTTTTTTTTTAATTATTAAAAATTATTTTTCTAGCTTCTGAAATCTCCTTAAACTGCAGAATTGAGCCAGAGGCTTTGTCGGTCCATTCCATTAAAACCTAAGAGGAAAAAAAAGATCAGAATTGTGTCACTACATCGTATTGCCAGCCTTGGAGATGTTTTCAAAGAGCGAAGAGGGAAGCAGTTCAGGAATGGGATGAAAGAAGAAGAAGGATGAGAATCTGTGTCAGTTTCAGCATGGCATGATGATCAATGTCCAAATCGTTGTTTGATGAATGATTCACTTTAGTTGCATCTTTTCATCGGGAAATGCAATGAAGTAAGGCTCGCATACACACAAGTACAATCACTGAAATCAGGCACTTCAAAGTCCAATCCATAACAGATGATTAATGAATGACTTTCATAATTACACTGTTGATGGCGATAACTAGCTGTTGTTTCGCAGCGGTTAAGTTGTACATTTCTTTTTTTTGTTTCCTTTTGTGTGTTTCATGCACTCATGAGGATGACAGCAAGTCTGGGTCAAACGCAGGTTAAAGGCCTCTGGTGGAGGAATTGAAATGCCAATATCAATTTCACAGAATAATGTGAAGGGAAGCCTTTTCCCTGTGAGGCTAACTAAGATGTGCAAAGAGACAGATGATGAGAAAGAAAAGGAGGGAAGAACAGATTATCACAAACGGGCACTTGAACAGAAGCACCCAAATCTCTCTTCTGTTTCTCCTGGTTTACACCGTGTAAGTGCTTCACTTCCTTGAGACACATCAGATTCCCTTCATCTACTTGAGACAACCTAAAAACATAAATAAATATAAGTTTTTTAAAAAAGGACAAAGGGAAGTGTATTTGGAATTGAGCAAGTCTATTTCACAGTTGTTGTCACTATCAATTAGCTGTCATTCATGTTTTGGCTAGATAACTTTCCCCTGGGAGGAAATCAAAACTTTGAAAAATAATTAAAAGAGTTGCTGCTGTTTTGATGAGATACATAATATTTTACGCTGGATTAGAGCCTAAACCATGGTTAATCCCCAGAGAAAGGTAACTGGCTAAATGTCAGCTAGCATCCTGTTAAAACATGCAAATTACATCATCCCTTCTCTGTTTTCCACTTAGCCCATCTTTCTGTTTTTACCCCTGTAAAACCTCAGCTATTAAATTGTTATTGTTTCATCATATACCTTAGAGTTAAACTAACAGAACTGCAGCTGCGAGCTGGTGAGCCTTGTAAACAATGACAAAAACACATTAGACAACCGGCGTCGCTTTCATATTCTTGGCGATTTACATTTTTATTAGTCCATCATGATGTCTAAATGGAAGAACTTGCAGCTTCTTGTACTGTAGCGCTGTTCATGACTATGAGTAATTACAGAGCGTAAAAAGTCTGGTTTCATTTGAAAAGTAATACTATATTTCTCTGGGCTTCATTAAGACTTAATGGAGTAATCATGGCAGTTAATGGATTTATTACTGTGGTGCATTACCTTGAAAAGATTGGGTAACATGGGTATTAGAGTCATACTTTAAAAAAAATGTATTCCTATACTTTAATAAGACCTGCACTCAGTTAATTCCAAACCATCTGGGGATATATGAACTGCATTAGAATTTTCTGCCTACTCTTAATCATTCTGTCATAAACGCTGTTAATTTTCCCTCTCCCTTCTTGTCTCCTCCTGTCTATGTTGTACAGGCATTCTACCTTTCGTCTGAGATCGAGCACGTCCTCGTTGGTGCTATCGAGTCATACGGTTTTACGGGGCCATGAGTAGCTGCTGGGTTGACAGTCTCCAAAACCCTTTGACATGGAACACCTAAAATGGGGACAGGACTTGCTGCCATGCTGCAACCTCAGCTCTAATTGTTGAGAAGGAAGCCTTTACATTAACTGCTCTGTCTATTTAAACTTGCCTCCCGATTTGCATCGGTTCCAGCGTTGAACTTGAACTGCTGCTCTATCCATCCTTTCCCCGACCCCCCTACCCTTTTACTGAGGTGGCACTCAGACATCCAAACCATGGCCAGCAGACTGTCCCCTCTCTCTCCAACCCTGTGTCTCTCGCTCCTGCTCCCTGCACTGTTGCTCCTCCACCTGTCTGGCACAGTGAAAGGGGATTGCTGGCTGATAGAGGGGGAAAAAGGTTACGTTTGGCTTGCTATCTGCAGTCAGAACCAGCCTCCATATGAGACCATCCCCCAGCACATCAACAGCACGGTCAGTATGACTATCTGCAGGCCAGTTGTGCTCTATCACTATAGCAACCTCTGCTGAACCTGTGCCTCCATGATGATGTTGACTAGAAAACAGTGATTCTAATGTTCTTACACTCAGTGTAATGGTCATTGTAAACTATGTGAAGGTGAAGGCTGTTTTATGTCTGTTCCCTAAATATAGTTGGTATTGTAATGTACTCAAATGTATGATGTCGCTGACATCTTATAATGAAAGCAACATATATTTTAGTTGGCGTAACACTGTACAATTGCCAGTGTAAGTGATTAAAACGAGACAACGTAATATGAAGATATTTTACCTAACTGAGATAGCATAAAGACCTACATAATCTAGATGTTTCAGAAGCAGAGTACAAGAGCTTACAAATGCGTTGTGATTACTGGGGAATGCGACGTGTAACTGGGGAAATTTCTCATTAAGCAAAAACGTAGGTTCCAATATGCTTCTGTCTTTTTAGGTCTTCCCCTTATAACAGAAAAAGTAAAGTGAACTGTTGTCTTGTCTCTCTTAGGTGCATGACCTGAGGCTGAATGAGAATAAACTTAAGGCCGTGCTCTTTACCTCCATGTACCGCTTTACAAACCTTACTGACCTCAATCTAACCAAGAATGAAATCAGCTACATTGAAGATGGCGCCTTTGCTGGACAGGCCAACCTACAGGTCTGAAGCCAAAAGTGAAACTGCTTTTACTGTCTCTCTTTTTTTAAACTTTATTTCTTCACCTGTACATAAGGAAATAATAGACGTTCCTTAAGACTTCCGGAAAGTTCTCTTATATTCCTGCAAAAGTGGATGAAAAATGAGTAAAGTCTTTAACCTCCTAGGACCTGGCGTCCACATATGTGGACATCACATTTTGGGTTATTTAGACCAAAATACTCAATTTTGCTCTACAAGGGCCTGATATCCACTTACGAGGACATTATACTGCAACTGCTCTATCGAAATTTTAAATAAATATCCTCATATGTGGCTCTCATTTTTCTTAAAAACAAAAATTAGGTAAAAAAAAGAAAAAACTGGTAATTCTTTGTTTTTACATTCATCAGGTCCCAATATCCCCAAATATCAAAGAGAAATTAAAAATGCATGACGTGGAAGAGTTCAGGTCTTAGGAGGTTAAATATGAATCCCATTTAGACCATGCTAAATGTAAGTGTTAACAGCAAATGAATCTGTGAATTTCTTGTGTATATCATTTCAGATGTTTGTCCGGTTGAATCACTCATGTCTTAACACTTGGTTAGATAATGCAGCAAAATGTTCCCAAATTGTTTCAGCTTAAACTGTGTTCTGACATCCTCTACAGAAAAGCAACAACCAATTAATGAAAATGTGGTGAACAACTGAACATATTTTTTAACAGCCGATTGTCTCCTTGACCCAGGTTCTTCAACTGGGCTACAACAAACTAACCAACCTGACTGAGGGCATGTTGAGAGGTCTGGGTCGAATGCAGTGCCTCTTCTTGCAACACAACCTCATTGAGGTCATTGCCACCAATGCCTTCTGGGAGTGTCCCAACCTCAACAGCCTAGACTTATCTTCCAACAAGTTGGCCCGTCTTGACCCATCTACTTTAACGGTTCTCAGCAGACTGACAGTATGTGAACTAGGTGGAAACCCGTTCCACTGTGGCTGCGAGCTTTACAGTTTTCTCACTTGGCTGGATGAGTTTAACAATGTCACCCGCACCTATGACCGTCTCCAGTGTGAAACACCTCCAGAAATGACTGGCTATCCACTCTTGAGTCCCGGGTATGGAAATGGAAGAAATGCTCGAAACATATTATTATCAATGTGTCGTGATGGTGTGATAATTCCAGGGATGACCTCTCAGATGCCAGATCAAGATGGCTCAGGGATGGGTTTGGACCAAGACCAAGGTGTGTACCATCAGCCAACCACCTCATCCACTGCTGACCCTATCTATAACCCTCAAATTTCTATGAAGCTTCAAACAGTTGCTCCGTACACAGCTTCACTAATAGTCAAGATCCCACATCCCTACAGTAAGATGTATGTTCTCTCCCGGTATAACAACACTTCTCTTGAAGAGGACATATCCCTCAAGTCAAGCAAAGCCACGATAACTTTGAAGGGGCTGAAACCACAGTCCAATTACACCTGTTGTGTGGCTTCTGTAAGGAAGTCTCAAAAGTACAACCACACCTGCATGTCTTTTACCACACGAGCTACTGGACCACTGGACCACCGAACGAATCCTTCCACAACAACCCACTACATCATGACCATCCTGGGATGTCTGTTTGGCATGGTCATTGTTCTTGGATTTGTCTATTACTGTCTGAGGCGCCGACGCATCCAGGAAGAGAAGGAAAAAGCAATTAGTGTGAAGAAAACAATTTTGGAAATGAGGTATGAGACAGTGCATGTTTGTTAATCAAAGTTTTGGGGATCACAATAGAATCTTCTGTCATGCATCTTTGGATGTTGTAGCCAAAAACTGACATGACTATGTCCTGTGGGTGTAATTGACTTCTTTGGAACAATTTATTATTTCATTATCTCTTCATTAGTTGTTTTGCTGCAGTGCATTTCTTTTTGAATTTATGAAAGACCTCATTTATTCTAACTGCAAGCAATGGCTTAAAAAAATCAGTCATACTCTTTATCGAGTCTTTAGGTCATTTTTATAATTCTTTAAGCTTTAATTAAAAAAGCAAGGATTTTGTCATCTTAGGCCATCACTGAAGAGAAACCAGTTTTTAGAAAAGGTACGCAATATGGAAACAGAGTATTGTTTGTTTAAAAGTAAATCTGACCCTTTTTTTTTAGGTATGGCCCAGAAGCAGCTGCAGCTGTAGTCAATGACCCAAATGCCATGCAGCGTCTTCAGGAGCAGGCTCACCACCAGCATCACCATTCAGGCGGTGCAGGAGCCAAGCTGCCCCAATCTGCCTCCTCTAGCACAGGCATGCTTCACGGTTCAGCCAACACCAGTTCTTCCCGCCTCTCCACCTTGCCACAGGTGGAAAAAATGGCCACTGCCTTCTCTGAGGCTATGGGTGGCAAGGGTAACTACATGGATATAAGGACAACGGGAATGGCAGGGGAAGGCAGGGAGGCAGTGATGGCAGCTGGAGGAGCAGGGCCAGGAGGGGAAGTAGTTGTGGATATGCGAGGTGGGGCTGAGAATGGGACGGAGGCTGGGGAGGATTCAGATGATGACGGTCGTGGCTCAGCATCAGAGATCTCCACCATTGCTAAGGAGGTCGATAAGGTGAACCAGATTATCAACAACTGCATTGATGCCCTGAAGCTGGATGCCTCAGCTAATGCTGTGACCACAGCTGACAATACCAGTTCTGTGTCCTCCCAGCCTCCTTGCATAGCATCGCTCCCGCGCAACCTTCTCCCCCTCTCTCCAGGTCACCCTGGAGATCAGATCATGGCTTCCTCTCCAAAGGTGCACCCTAAGCCTCACCTTCAACCTCATCCACAACCTCATCCTCAGCCAATTCCTCAACCACATCCTCAGCCACATCCTCAGTCCCATTCTCAGCCCCATTCTCAGCCTCATCCACAGCTCCATCAACAGCCTCACCCGCCTTCAATGGCCCCAGTGCCCCTGGTCATGCCCTTATCTGAGCGGCCTGGTATCAGCGGGGGTGGATTTCTCTCCCCTCCTTACCGTGATCCACCCCCAGCCAATGCAGTGCGGCCCCTTCAGAGGCAACTGAGCGCAGACACTGCTGTGGTTAAGAACCGCTGTGGTCCCCCTTCTGCAGGCTCTGCCAAGAACACAAGAGTGTATAGTGTAGACATCCCTGAGCAGCGCAGTGATCCTCCCAAGTACCCAGGAGAAAAGGGTAGCCCCGTGGGTTGTGTTGGAGCGGGAGGAAGTGGAGGAGGTGGTGGAATAGGAGGCTGTAACGGAAATGGAATGGGAAATATTAATGGCGGAGGCCTGAGCTTAAATGGGGGAGGAATGGGATGTAATAGTGGGAATGGAGGTGGCGCTGTAAGCTCTGGACAGCAGCAACAGCAGCACTTGGAAGTTCAGCCAGACTATCATAGCTCTGAGCACCGCCACTCCTTTCCTGCACTCTACTATGAGGGTGGCAATGAATCGCCTTCACCATCCCAAAAGGCTTCGTTTCTCAAGCCACTTGGGCGCACCAAGAGGGATGCCACATCCACCTACTCCCAGCTCTCACCTTCTCGTCACCACAACTACAACTCTGGCTACTCTTCCAGTCCAGAGTACTCATCTGAGAGCACACTGCGAATCTGGGAGCGATTCCGACCTTACAAGAAAAGCCCTAGAGAGGAAGCATCCTATATAGCAGCAGGGCATGCTCTGCGCAAGAAGGTGCAGTTTGCCAAGGACGAGGACCTTCATGATATTTTGGACTACTGGAAAGGTGTTTCCGCCCAGCAGAAGCTGTGAGCTGGGGAGCAAAGCTTATGTCCTAAGGGAGATTGTGGAATGAATGCCAACAGCAGACTACTGAAGAGGAACATATTAATGTAGCAAGACAGATAATGTTTCCTCAGAGGTGTCTAGCGACACAGGTCATTCAGGCGCCTGTTCAAGAATTAAAGAGGTATTCTCCTGGTGATTTTTAAAAATTGATTTTGTGAAAATCCATTGACATTTTCAGAGGCTATTTCCAAGATTCTCCTCTGTCTTCACCTCAACACGAATGATTTTTAACGAGAATCCTGCCTCACCCTGGGCACTTTGGTCCTTTCAGGCTTCACAGACCTGTTGACTAATCACTAATGATCAAAGGCGAGGTGATGACAAGCAAACGTCTTCTACCTCACTGCTGGCAAACTGGAGCTCAGCTATCTCCCCAGAAACAGCACCCATCATGACTTAAGCGCCATCCGTTTTTTCTCTAATCCCATCAAGCCGTTATTCACAAAACAATCATTCCATGGCACGGCAGTACCTGCTGTCCTATAGAAACATCATTTAGGATGGTAATGAGGAAGCAGGGTGAAGAATTAGGTGTGTTTTGTTTTAGAAAAGCCTGAATCTCCCTCTTTAGGGAAGACATTAAATGATACTTATCAGGTTAATTGTTCTTCCTGGCGATTAGCCGGTGTGAGAATAGTTCAGGAACGCTTTGTGTTGCGCACACTCATTGATTTGAAGCACCTACAAACAGATATTCAGTAGTGTATGGACATGCACGTACAGTTTCTGCATGCTTGAGTGATTACTTGTGTGTGAAAGAGTAAAGTTCTGGTTGTCGGTGAGTCGTTTATTATTCTCAAGCTCACCCAAGGTAGCAAAGCCTGTACAGCTAATATATGGATAACAACAAAGTCAGGAAGTTATGAGTGAATGTGAGTGAGTACATAACTGTGTATTGTCTGTTGAGATAGCATGAAGACCCACAGGCATTTTTGTCCCATAGTCCATTTCTTATTTACAGTTGTAGCATATTTCTTTTCATAAGGGAAGTTATGAGATGAAAAATTTACATTTCAATAGTCCAAGTCTTGCAGAAATTACTTTAGGTTGAGTTATGCAGGTTTACAGGACAGCCATTAGCTCCTATATTAAAGAAAATGGTAATCATGTTTAGGAATAGAGGCAAACTAAGAATAAGTAAGGGTTTACTGTAGCAGCATCTCATTTTTAACAATTTCCCCATTATGCAGACAGACTTCAGTGTATTGTCAGTTGCCTTTGAATCAACTGAATGCAAGGAACCCTAAAAACAAAAAAGTGAAATGCTTCCACTACTACACGTTAAGATGAAATGAATAATACGCAGGGTGAAGACCCTAGGGATGTACTCTGACGCTACACTATATATGACCACCTTGTGCTCTGGGTGGAAGCTGGTAGCTCGCTAGACCTGGACCAAAGTGCCCTTGGGAGGTATGACTTTACAGGTTTCCATTATAATCTTTTCCATTGTGGTCAGCAAAGTATAAAGAAAACAAAGGAAAGTTACAGCCTTGGTTTATTTAGGATTAGGGTTTAAAACTATGGTTAATACAATGAAAATGGATTAGAGGAGCAAGGCTTGGGACTGTTGTGGACTAAACAAGAGACCTTGAGCATTTTTATTTAATTTTCTGCCCAAATTCCTATTACAAGCTATAAATTCTTAAAATGCAAATATAACTCATTTCCCTCTGTTTTTCTGCCAACTCTGTCCAACTTAATGGGATAAATTAATGACTAATTTTTGAAGGCTGATGTTGTACCATCATCTGAGGTCAGAAGGCTCTGCTGATATTATTAACTCTGCAGGTTTCAGAGCTTGACTGAAATTAATAACAGATAGCCTTGTTTCGCTGTCTGTCTACCCATTTTTTATTTATATAATGTCTCATCATTTTGTATTTCCCTCCATGTTTTGCAGGCAGGAATGATAGTCAGACACTGGCGTGAAAAACAAAAAGTCATTCATCTTCACTTGTGCAGGTGAAGGTGAAATTAGGCTATAACCTTCTGGGCTATGTTCTTTCTGCTTTGAGTATGATTGGTCTGGATTGGCCTGTTTGCAAGGCATGCAAGTAATGCATTCTTATTTGATTTTCCACAGGATTTAATCTGATGTTATTGTTTTGATAGGCCTTGAATCAAGCCACCATTGAAAGTGTGAGTTTGATGGGGCATTTATTTACTCTTTCACCTATAAAATGTACGTCTAAAGAATAGGCAGAGTCGCAAAGGTCAGCGCAAATGACCCAAATCTGCTGTGAGAAATAGAAACGATCATGTTTAAAAGCAGTTGGGACATGTCATTTTATTAGATTTTTTAACACTGCACTTTGTTCTGCATAAATTGTCCCATCCAAATATGTTAGAATTTGCCACCCTTTGACACTAAAAGAAATGTCTGATTGTAATATATTTAATTTGTCTGAATGAAAATCACCTTCACTTCCACTGCAGCAGTGTGATGGCACAATCTCTCAAAACCTGGACCAAAAAACCAAAACAAAGACAAGTCAGAGAATGTTTTTGCTTTTGATATTCTATTATTTTGAGTAATAACTGGCATTTCTATGTCATCTGTGGCAGTCAGTGCAATAGACCCACTGGTGTTTGCAATGGGATGTCAGCAGAATGTCATTACTTTATCATTAGATCAATAGAACCTAATTTGGGTGAGTGGTAGCGCATAAAAAATCCACAGTGTGAATTCCCTTGGGCACTCAGTTGGACCGTGTCCATTTTTTATAAAGTGCCTAGTGTTCTATTTTTGCCTTTTGTTCAAGTTTTACTGGCAGCTCCCCTATTTGTAACGTACAAAAGGAATCACCAATCAATTAGTTTTAAATTAGTACCACAGGCTATGCAGGGGTAGAAGCTTTTTAAAAAAATAATGGCTTCACTTGGAAGAAGAAGGGGAGCTGAGGTTACCCTCACGTACCCCGAAGGCATTTCTTTAGATGTAAGGAATAACATTAGCTCAGTTATTCATGGAATTATTCATAGTTTCCAATTTGCCATACGTCACACCATTACCAAGACCATCACTCACTTTTGTCCACCAGTCCAGTGTTTATTTAAATCTATAAAATTACTCTTTAACCAAGCTGTTCTCCAAGCAGACTTTTTCCTCTGCCCCGGAGAGGAGTTCATACATGGTGACCAAGCTTTGCTCTTCTTTACTTCCACTGGTTGATACTGACAAATGTACAGATTCTATAACCTGGGATTTGATAGAGTGCATCTTCTTTCCAGTCTGTGTACTTAACCATGGTCATGTATGAAATCGTAGGCCTTCAGAAGTTAAAGGTAACAGGGAACAATTGAGAAAGCACAGCTTGTGGCAGTCTCACAAGTCAAACTACCTTTACCCAGAGGAGAGGAATTCAAGAGTACAATTAAACTGGTAATCAGGCATTGTGTATGCTCTGAACAAAAATAATTCGCTAGGCTTCTTTTTTTTTTGTGCCACAAAACTGGCATTAACATCACGATTCTAGTCCTGGTACTTTGGGAGGAATGGGTCTGGTCTAAAAGCTTTTTATTAAGTTATAAACTAGAAGGATAGTTTCTATATGCCTCAAACAAATTCACGGTGGTTTCTAGACAATATCACTGGCTGCCTCGGGGAGTCATTGCTGCGCAAGTTTGGCTTCTTATTTCAGTTTCGTAAGTTTCTGAAGTTCAGGCTTATTGAAAAACACAAATCAATAGTCATGGAAAATCACAGAACAACCCTGCTCATTTCCTCCCTTTGGAGTTGTAGTTGTTCTAAATGTGAACCTCAGGCACAGAAACCAATGGGTTGCAATGGTTCCCAGGGAATGGCAGCGAGGTCTCTTTGCTCCTTTTTAATTAAACTTATGAATCCATAGGATGAAGTCTGCAGTGGAAACACTGGCTTTGTATTAATGCTGTAAACATTAAAACACTATACAGATAGCGTCTGGCTGAAGTAAACTCAGAAGAATTCCTCCCTCTATCCCTTTTTGCCTATTTTTCCTTTACCATTAACAAGGTAATGGACCACAGAAGCCTATGCTGCAAATATAACTTTTTGCCCGTTCTCCTTGAGTTTAATATCACTGTAGAAAATGGGAGTCTTGGGTGAGAAGTATGTGCTACAGGAAGTGTAACGTCCTGACAATTTAATCTCTTAACCTATCTTGGCACATTTATCTGCATTCTGCTAAACAAGATAATCAATTTATGTTGTAAACATGTAAAATATGATACATTTTTAGATCAGATTACATTTCAGAAGCCACAGTTTGGTGCAATTTGAAGACGTGCATTTTTTGTGTTAAAGCGTGACACGATGGGACAGTCTTGCTTTCCCGGGCCAGGTTTAATTTACTGTTCATTCTGAGCTCTCCCTCCCTCCCTGCTGCTCTTGGAGATATTTTTTTCAGCTATGCTTTAATTTCTGTATTTGTTTATTTTACTTCAGAGTTTTCAACATACTGATCTAAGGACCTGTATTACAGGACCTGTAATAATGGAAAAGCAGTTATCAGCAGTTCAGTGCTATTCTCATTTTATCCAGACTGTGTGTTATGTTTGGGTTAAACCAAGTACAGACAGAGCTGTTGTACTTGGAGTTTGAGTTTTCATGGATTGTGATAAATACTAATTGATAGGCAGAGCCAAAGGTCCTCCAGTCTCACCACAGACTATTTAGAAGCTGAAGGGAACGAACCACAATCTGGTAAATCAAGTGATCTGTTGCGGAAGCTTAAGATTCGCATACGATTAAGATAAGAAGTTTCTGAAGGCAATTTTCTTAGACTTGGAGAAGCTCCAACTTTCAAGAAGCACAGACTTTCAGTTAAAGTGTTTGGTGCAGTTCACCATTGGTTTTGCTAGGTTATCAGCCAAGCTAGCAGTTACCTGAGAGCTAGTGAGGAATTCACTGTGGTTTCCAGTCTATCTGATTGCATCCAGAAACATTGTATTCTTCTCCTGCTGGAAATCAAAAGTGAACCAAGAAGTTTCAGACTATTTGACATTCCTAAGTTTGTCTGGTGATGCCAGGCTAGTTTTCTACCCTGGATGGTCATACTTACATTAACTATCATTTCTGATCTCTGCCAAATAACAGTCACTTCTGCCCCCCCCCCCCTTCCCCCATTTGAAAAACACCATTTCACACCCCTTTCAGAGGTGTCAGTTTAATTAACTACTTTCAACACTTTAAATTTTAAGCACTGTGAAACTATATTGCTTACTGGCACTGAGAAAGAAGCTCTGTGACTTGTCTGCATCAAACTAGAGGCTTGATAACAAGTCCAAACCCCCGAAGAACCCCGAATTGACTTTTGTCTTTGGCTATTTGACTGGCTCCACAGAGGAAGCAGGACTGTGATTTTAAAAATGTCTGTCTGCTGTTGAAGTTGAGTCGTCAGTTGGTTGATTTATTTGTGGGTTGACGGTAGATCCGCTGACCTTTCGGCTCACTGTCAACCGAACAAGAGAGACTGACGGAGGGAGTTGCCTCGTGAAACCAACACGCAACAAAAACAGAAGAGTTTTTTTTACCGGTGGCCAACTGTGACAAACACACACTCTTACACAACTCCACAAAACACACAAACGCTAATGTAGAGAATCAATGAATATACTGTACGTGTTTGAATAGTTTAGAGTAACACTTTATGGACATAAAATGTAAGAACACACACTACATACACCTTCCCACACACGAGCATATATACCTACACACATTTGTATACGAAAACACCTTGGCACACACACACACACACACACACACACACACACACACACACACACACACACACACACACACACACACACACACACACACACACAGACCATATTCACACTTGCCTACACAAAACATGGACTGAATATATTTCTATCCACGTTTACAGACACATATGTCTTAAAAGTGCCAAAACGGCGAGTTTTATATGCAGATGGAGTGGAACCAAACATCTGTAGAAATGAACTCAGTGTCTTTACAGGCCTAAGAGCCCGAGTGTCTGTTTTTGTTTCTGTATTTACCTCCCTGTATAATTGGTGTTTCTTTTCTGCACTGTTCCTGTTTTCGCTGTTGTAATTCTCATACTCTGTTCCAGTCTGTACTTCCTGTAGAATGAAATCACTTACTGTGAATGTTATGTTGAGTTCTCATGGGTCCTTCTGATCTGTCCCGCTTTAAAATGAATAGTTGTAGCAGTGACGTATGTTTAATCACAGATTTTTTCACACCTGCAGAAGCCCTCCTGCTCTGCAGACACAGATCAAATGAGAGCACAAAATATCACCACAGTTATTGTACGTGTGAAAAAGTAGGGTTTGATTCACCTTTGGACAATCAAAGTCTCTCTCTCTCTCTCTCTCTCTCTCTCTCTCTCTCAAACACACACACACACACACAAGACACACACACACACACACACACACACACACACACACACACACACAGAGCCGTGTAGAAGAGCTGATAATATGCCTGTCACGCTGAAGCTTTCATCACCGCTGGGCTTTTCAAGGACCTTGTTTCTCAGTTTTTAAATCGAGGCAGTCAACTTCAGGAAGACAGCACTGCTCTGCTACTGGAATGAACATTGCCACAAAATTTGTAGGCATTAAAGATAAATTAGAGATGCTTAAAAAAATTTCATATAATCCAAAGTGTTGTACAAGGCAGGGGGTTCAAGTTAATATTTAGTGTGATCACCTTTGTTCTTTAAACTGGCACAGATGTTTGTTACACTTCTTTAGTGTACTCGGCTGGTAGGTCCCCCAAAGCATCTTTGAGAACTTGCCACAGTTCTTCTGTGGATTTATGCTGTCTCACTGTCTTCTGTCTTTTTGTGTGACTTGATGATGTTTCCTGGGGGCCCTACAGCACCATCTGTTGCAGGACTCCTTGTTCTTTTTTGCCAGTAAAGATAGTTTTGTTTTTCGAATTTCTCAGCAGTAGGTTTGGGATGTTGTCACGCTTGCAAAGGGAACCAATCAGATGTATTACCAGTTCTAATTAACGCAAGTGTCTAAAGCGTCTGCACAGCACTGTACTGCACGTGCGTGTTTTGTGTCATGGCGACAGTGTGCATGTGTATGTATGTATTTTTTGTCTCAATCAAACAACCTGTTGTGTCTGACAGTACAGCTCTGCATGAGCTGTGTGTTCTTATCAGTGGACTGGGTAGCATTTATATCGCTCTGTGTGTGTGTCTGTGTATGACTTAGTGCGTGTTTGAGGGACTTTGTTATGAAGGTCCGTTCTGTTGAGGGAGTAACAGCTGAGGCTGGGTATCTGAAGCATTTTTAATTAATCTGCCTTTCATTCTGCAGGGCTCTCCAATACGGCTGCACTCATTCACCCGCGTGCTGCCACTCATGCACACACACAGACACATGTATGAACATGCACACGGGCATACACACAAGCATAGATTGTAATTTTGTGCTGCCATGTCATGTGATTTTCATTCACATGTATGCAATTACAATGCACACAGTCAGCCAGACACATGTCTCACATATACAATGACTGCTGTTGTATTATAATTACTATAATTGCATACATGTTCATGCACCTCATAGCCAAGTGAATAGCCGCCGCCATATGTCACGTCCTCGCTTCCTGTTCGGCAGCACTCTGCCCAGTGTTGCCTGATTACCAAAAGCCCAGCAGGTTAGCTTTCTCACATCAAGGCTGGTGTGCTAGTTTTCCCCACTACTGCTCTGCATCAGGGGGTAAGGGGGAAAATAAATGTAGCCAGACAGCACACAGAGCCAGGTTAAGTAAAGGCAAGGCTCTGAATTTTAGTGTTTAAACTCTAGTGTTATTGTAACTGCATCGCAGCTGTTTCCTGATTTGAGTTCGAGTGAGCAATGAGGAAAACAAAAGAGGTTGAGGGAGAGAAAAGGATGGGCAAACAAACAGCGATGAACAAGAAACAAATGTGACAAAAAGGACTGCGAAGGGAAGTCCATCTAACACCTCAAGTCTCCAACAGAAGTCCACAAAGTAAACTGTGGCACCTCAGCATCTGTGCTATTAATCTCCCTTTGTGTGAATGACCTTGACACACAGCGCTGCAAACAAGAGGCAGGATTACACACAGAGTCTGCAGTTTAACTGTCCAGGTTTGGAGTGACTGTCACAACTATCCTTTTGTAAGTCACTGAAGCTGAAAACATCTGTGATGCACCTGCACATTGGTTAGGTTGAGGCTGTGCTCTGCAGCTCATGTCAATAAGGCTTGAAAATGTTATAGATTTTCTTTAGTCAGCAAATTCCACAAAAAGATTAAAATCTAACTGTGTTTTTCCTTGTTTGAAGCAAAAGGAACTTCTTAGATGATCAAATATTACACAAAAAATGGGAAATTGGATAGAAAGTGCTTGCATCAATACTGCACAGCAGCCCACAGCACTGAGTATAACATAACTGAAATAACTTTCAAATACAGTATGTATCAAAACGAATCATTTGATATCAAAAAGATGTATTTTTAATACAGCGAACAAAGAAGCTAAATATAAAGTTGTTGGGTATTTCTGGGTTCAAACAAGCACTTTAGCATCACTGAGACTTTAAAACTGTCCAGATTTTGTCATCGTCAGTAAAATGATGAGTGTGGCTGCTCACCCGGGTCTCGTGATAAAGCTAAACATCCTAGCATCCATGAAAAAGAGGATTTTTAGAAGTTAGCAGGAAGTTAGCTGGCTAATTTCCATCTAATGACAATGACCATGTTCTAACAGAGGGATTTCTTAAAACCTAAAACATACAGTTCTGCTGTCACTTTGGACATAAATGAAGACAGAAAACCGCTGAAACAGCAGCGGTAATGTTTGCAGCGTTATTGATGGCTAGCTACAGAGCTATGGTTAGGATAATATCCACACAGGAGCAGTGCAAAGATAGAGGATGAATGTTAACTTTTTTCCACTCAACAAAAGTAAAGGGCCCTGATGGGCAGAGACAAATTATATCATACGGCACAGAAAAGATGATGACCCAGTCACAACATGAGGTTAGTCATTAATATGCTTTGTTGGGTTTTGATTAGAGATGGCACGATACCACTTTTTTATGTCCGATACCGATATCATAACTTTGGATATCTGCCGATACCAATATGAATGCGATATAGTGTTTTTTAATCAATAAAACTGTTTTTTTTTAATATCTTGCTGCATTTTGTATAAGTTCACACTCAAGTTTAAATAAACAACACTAAAGCTATTCTGTTATACCTGTGTGTAAAAAATACACTGCACCCAAAATATTTCATAGTTCAGCAATACTGATCAATCTAATAAACTTAAACCTGCTCCATCCTCCCTATTCTGGTATTTTACAGAGTACTTAGCAGAAATATTAAGCAACCTAACTAATAGGGTTGCAAACTCCCAGCAAAAAAACAATAGGGAACCACCCTCCACCTCATGATGCTTAATCGACATAATCAACTTTAATTTGATGCAGTGTGAAAAAAAATGCACAGAAATAAATTATTTTTCAAGAATAATTAAATAGATTCAACATCTTTCTTCAACAGAATTGCAGACTGCACAGATGGTATCTTCCCAAAGGAAAAAGTATATAGCTTACTAGGGTATATTAGACTTAACAGTTACTATATACAGTAATGGACTTCTATACATTTTACATCAGATTAAAACTTTGGGTGTAAGATTCAGATAATTATTTATTAAAAGCTAGACATTTTAAATGAGAATAAGAAAGAAAAGTATGTCTTTGTGCCCCTTTTCCCTGTTATCTATGGCCCCCTCATTTCGCCGCCCCGCCTTGGCCTGGTAAACTTTGCTAGATCCGCCCCTGCACAGTTACCAGCCGTCAGCTGACGTAGAAAAAGATCCTGGTGTAGAAAGTAATATTAAATAAATTCTAACAACAGCTTATCAAGGTTAAACGTGCTGCTGTTGTTCAGCCTGCTGGTTTCCTCTTTCTGGCGCAAAGTGGGCAATAAACAAACAAGAGAGAGGGACTTGCACAGAAAAGCCGATCAGCTGATCATTGATCAGTTTCACGATTGAAGTAGGAGAAGGAGAGGGAGGGAGAGAGAAGAGGCACTCGCTCCATATATCGGTATTTAAGCTTAACGTGGGAATGCTTTAGATGGACTTACACACTTGCTTTACTTCTCTCTGGGATAACTTCATTGGAGATGAAATACCGGTTTGGTAGCCAGGCTAGAAATACACACAGCTGCTCTGTCACATGACGCATACTGCTCCTACGTGCTACGGTTATGAGCCGAGTTACGCCATGTTGCAAGTTTTGTGAGGTGCTTTTTTGATATTTAATGGATCGGATTACATTTTTTATTTCTCTCCAATATCTGATCCAGTAATTTATGTCAGTATCAGACCGATATGACTGGCTATCAACAGTTCTTAATTCTAAGTTTCATGAACCTATTCTTAGTCAGCCTGACTGCGATTCTTTCCTGAAACATTCCTATATTTGGTGGAAAATTGAGAGCCCACAGGCTGTTGTTACATTGTGAGTTTAGAAAAACTGAGCTTAATGACACTTTGCACTTGAATACTGCTAATGAAAAGCCAGAGAGCCTGACAATGACCACTAATTATTTTTAGGGGCTTGTTCCTGTAAAACACCACAAGATGCAAAACACTGCAACGCATTAAAAAGACAAAAGCCTTAATGAACGCAGCAGGAGTTTGGACCCAGAAGTAGTGTTGTTACATCATCATTTAACAAGTGGATGCTTTATCAAGCATATCTGGAGTCCCTGTACCCACAGCTGCCATTACATTACCTAGCAGCAATCATGTGAAACTGATGTTTTCATTCTTACCTTTTGCCTTTGAAATCGAATAATTCTTTTTGATTCACCCGTATTTTGAGATTCTGGTCCTCCTGTTCTTACAAAGGAGAGAGTTCCCTTTGCTTGTGGTGCTGCATCGAAACACTTCTAAACTATGTGTAATCTAAACTGCAGTTCTGTCAGGACCACTGCAGTCAACGAAGATTGATCTCTTCATCTGCAGTAATTCATATTTGATCACATGGCTCAGTTCTGTGAACCCCTTTGTGCTCATATGTGGAGGGGGGCATGCATGGAAAGCTGAAGGTGAGAGAACAGCAGCAAGACTTCAACAGAGAACAGAGCAGGAATGACTGACAAAAGAAATGATGCTGATAAAGTCAGATATTGATGGGAGGAGCTGGGGTGGGTTCATGTGAGCAGCAAATGTATGCATGCTAAAGGAGATGAATTATGGGCGCTGTATTAGACAATTAGTGTGACACCTTTCTTCTCATCTAATAGACTACATTCATTTTGATTTAGTTTAGTCATAGTCTTTTGATTGAAAGACCATTCAGTTTCACAATTCTTTTAGTTTTAGTTGACTAATAAATATCATAGAT